GAACATTGGGAAGCTGTGAAGTGGATTTTGAGATACCTAAAAGGCTCCTCAGAAACCTGTTTGTGTTTCTCAGGAAAGAGCCTAGAGGTACAGAGCTATGTTGATGTAGATTTAGCTGGAGACATTGACAGTAGGAAGAATACTACATGTTATATTTATACTCTTGGCGGTACTATAGTGTCATGAGGCTCTAATCTACAGAAGACGGTTTGTTTGTCCACTACAGAGGCTGAGTATGTTGCAGTATCAGAGACTGCTAAGGAGATGATATGGCTGCAGAGTTTCTTGGCGGAATTGGGTAAAGAGGTTCAGAAGGCCACTCTCTACAGTGAAAGCCAGAGCGTCATATTCTTAGCTAGAAATCCAGCATATCAATCCAGGACCAAGCACATTCAGATCAGGTATCTTTTTATTCGATCATTATTAGATGACGGACAGTTGCTAGTTGAGAAAATTTGTGGAAACAAGAACCCTGCTGATATGTTGACCAAGGGTGTTACACTTGAGAAACTGAAGTTGTGCTCGACTTCAGTTGATCTTCTAGCTTGAAGACAGGACCTTGAGTTGCAGAGGTGGAGGATATCACGTTAAAGAAAGGGGAGATGCCGCCAGTTAATGGTGGGAGATGCATTCAGTGTCTCAGTCTCCAAGTGAGAGAATTTTTGAGATTAGTGGAGATCTGGTCCACTGAAATAATTAGAAAGTAATTAATATTTGCTTAATTTGCTTCCCTAATATTCTTCCCGCCAAAGTCCTCTCCCTCACGCGGTCCCGCCAAAGCTCTCTCCCTCACGCGATTTTCTTACGCGGAAACACGGCATTGGGAATTACCTTTCTCAGCTATTTGTGCCTCTTATAAATAGCAGGGCAAAAGGCCTGCTAAAGACAACTAACCTAATACAATCTCTCGGCTGTAGCTTGCAAGGGGAAACAAAAAGCTGCTGTAATTTTTTTTCTCTTTTTCGGTTTGCTAACAGAGAAGAAATTCCTTCTTTCTCTCTCATGTGGCTTTAGAAAGAGAGAGAGAGGGGGGAAGAGAGAAAAAGAGAAGAGAAGGAAAGAAGAGAGAGAGAGAGGAGAGTTTTTTCTTATAAACGTCGAGACGTTCGACGGTGTAATTTCCTCGAAGTAATAAAGTCCTCTATAGCTCCGTGGACGTAGGCAATTTGCCGAACCACGTAAATCTTGTGTCGCTTTTTTTCTAGTATAATTTTCTCGATCTGTTTTTCATTTTACTACCGTCGATTTTTTTATAACAATTTCATCATCAAAATCAATTTCAACTAACGACAATTGATTTGTGATAGTATTGAAATCATTTAGGTGTTGAGCAACAGAAACACCTTATGCCATCTTCAAGTTGAACAACTTCTTCATCAAGTGCACCTTATTATTCCTCGATGACTTTTCATATACATCTGACAGGGCTGCCATGAGATTTGCAGTCGTCCTCTTCTTGACGACGTTGTATGCAACGGATCTCGCTAGTGTCAATCTAATAATCCTCAGAACTTATCGATCCAACAAATTTCATTCAGCCTCATCTATCCTTTTAGGTTTTTTCCCTAATAACAGAAGATGAAGTTTCTTTCCATAAAGGTAATCATATATCTGCATTCTCCAATAACCAAAATATGTGTCATGAAATTTCTCGATTTCTGAAACCTGCACTTTATTTGCAGTCATCGTTCTTCCTCAGATCCGAAACCACGCTCTGATTCCAGTTGTTGCGAGATATATAGATAAATCAAACAGGAGAATGATCTTTGACGATGCGAAAAAATAGAACGAGAAAAAATCACACCAGAAAAGAACACACAGATTTAGGTGGTTCAACAAATTGTTTACATCCACAGAGCTGCAGAGGATTTTACTACTTGAGGAATTTATATCAATCGATCATCTCGACTTACTAGAGGAATCTCTCACTCTCACTTCGTTGCTCTCTCTTCTTCTCTCTTTTCTTCTCTCTCTACACCGAGATACATCGAAGAAATTCTACACCGAAGAAGATAAACTTACAATAGAAATAAACCCAATTTATCTTCTGCAAGCCACCAAGAAGAAGCCAAGGGAGAACAATCTTCTTTTTCTTCTTTCTTCTTCCTTCACCGCATGGAACTACTTCTTGCACCTTCCTTCCTCTATTCTAAGGAAACCTTCCTCCATCCCGAAGAAAACCGAAGAACACAATGACTTCTCTTAAACTGAAAGGAGAGTCGTGTGATACCTTTTATCGCGAGAGAGGAGGCGGGGTTGGCGACGTTTCGCGAAATGGAGGGCGCGCGGCGGTTTTCGCGAAACCGCAGAGTCGCGGTCGCGACCTTTCGCGATCGGGTGCGGGAACCGGAAGCAGGGGCGGGAGATCGGGAGCAGGATCGGGAAAAATCGAGCTTCAGCGCTAACACTTATTTCACACCCAACTTTGATATTTATATACATAGCACTTGTTATTGTGTGGAGCCTGAATGTGTTGATCACATGTTTTTTTTTTCCTGCCGTACTTAACGTTTCGGAGCTGTAATATCAGCAACATAGCAGCACTTTAATGTTATTCTCGGAGGAAAATTTGTGCGAAAACCCAAGAGCTTGGTGCCACAATGCCATATTAGAGCGCCGCGACGCTGCGAAGCGGGAGTCTGTTTTAAGCAGCTCTTCTGTGGTTTTTTTGTGAAGATTTCAAAGTTTTTGGTGCAAAGAGTAGAGTAGGTGGGCAAAAAATGTGAAGAAGCTTGAGTGTGGTATAATTTGTACTGTCATCTTTATTTTTCTACATAGCGGATTTCTTTATATGGTGTGACACCTTTTTCCCGTTCTAGGGTCTGTCCATATTAAAGTTTGTGTTTTTGGTTTTTTTTTTAAATTTTGTATTTCTTTTCAAAGTTTTGTTTCAGATTTATCAAATCGATTTTCGCAATTAACATCATCCAACAACATTTTGGTGCTTTAAACATTTGAATGAAAATGTGTATCTCACTTTTAAGAAGTTATAATGATGTACAATTAAACATTCGAATGCTATGTGTGTAAATATAACAGACTAGGTGTGAGATATGTAAATTCATCAGAATTGTGTGCTATGTATGTATATGCCTCTAAAATTTATTTCATGGATATCCTACACTATTCACGTGCAATTTCGTAATGATAAATACTTAGGAGTTTCTAAACATGTTATTTGAAACTAATCAAGGATTTCTTAATATGCTTCTTCACGCGCCGCCGTGAAAATCTCTTCTGAATACTTGCCCTCATTCTTCGAGCATTCATATGCTAAAGTTTTTGTTTGCCCTCTGTTAGTATTCTATGAAAACAAATTAGTTGCTTCAAAACTTCCTGGATTCATATATGTGCTCCCAATTTGGATTCAGAAGAGCAAGGAGCAAAGTGGTCTGATTGGAAGAGCTACCTGCTGGGGCTTTAGCTTTCAATGTCTTTCTTTCTCCAAAGTATCTTTCTTTAACTAGGATAAATATATGAACTTTAAATTGAATTATTTACATATATACTGTTCAAATGATGGAATTTTTTATATGTTTTGAAATATATGGGTGGTCTGAATGTAAAAAGCTAAGTTTAGGTGCTAGATATGTAAATAGATGGAATTGGGTGGCATGTATGAACAGTCCACTAAAACTGAACGGTAGAACAAAAAAAGCAGCGCGTTATCACAATCCTTAAAGCCTTCCAAGTTCCAAATTTTTATTTCTATTTCATGCAAAACCATGAACTTCCTCTCCACAGGTAAAAGCCATGGAGTTGATTGATAAGCTGGAGGTCACAAGAAGAGGGCCATACAGTGGAGGATTTGGAGGAATATCCTTCAACGGCGACATGGACATTGCGCTTGCTCTCAGAACCATTGTGTTTCCGACCGGATCCCGTCACAACACAATGTACTCCTACAAAAACCTTGATCGACGGCAAGAATGGATAGCACACATTCAGGCGGGCGCCGGCATTGTTGCGGATAGTGATCCGGATGATGAACATCGCGAGTGCGAGAATAAAGCGGCAGCTCTTGCTCGCGCCATTGATATAGCCGAGCTCACTTTTGTGGACAGAGAAGGTTAGTTTTGTTTCATATTTATCAAATTACTTCTGGAAATTCTTTGCCATATTGGTATAATAATATGCTCTGAGGCGAAGGAGTTGTTTCTTCTGGACAATTTGCGCTTATCTGGACTTTACCATTCTTTTTTCTTTTTTTTTTTTTCTGTTCTATTAGAAGATAGGAGGATTTTTAATGTGGAAACAATTTTTTCTTACTTAGCGACTGTTCGGCTGCAGGTAGAATTAAATTTAGATAGGATTTAGTAAATCCAGATTCATCAAATCTTAAGGTGGTAAAATTCTGAAAAATTTTCAACATGTTAAGAAGTAAAATCTTGATAAATTCTGACAAATTAGTCAACAACTTTAGTATGATTTTATTCGAGAAACTATATGGGGCTGTACTTCCGTTCTTGAGTCCAGGGGATTCCCTTCGTCCTCCCATATCAGCAAGCTTTCCTCGCTATCTTTTCACACCAACACGAGTTTCCTACCACCTCAAGTGGCCGCTTGTCATAAAAAAATCATCATGCTGAGCAATAATTGAGATTGCAGCTGAGGAAGAAGAAAGACAAGCTAACATCTCCACTTAAACTGGTCGCTTCTCATAAACGTTAGAGAATGGAACCAAGTGAATGTTCCTGTAACCCACTCCCTCCATTCAGACTTGCAATATTTGAAGTACACAGTTTCATATATTGTGAAATAACTTTGTTTGGCTTTCCAGAACAGAACTCTTGTACATAGCCATCACCTTTGGGTTGGTCTTCACATAAAGAAACAAAACAACACTCTTAAGAAAAAACCTAAAACGTTCTTTTACACAGAAAACTTGAGGGAAAAAAATGTTAAAATTTGAGTCTTCCGCAAAAATACGGTGCAAATTTGTAAGATTCTAATCTTAATTCTATTACAAAATAACTACAGCACAAAACTAAAGGAAAAACAAGTAGCCCATCTGTAAAAATAAAGAAAATGTTGACGCTAAACTTCAATGAAATAAATTAAGAGACTGATTTAGCTCCATGTAACAAAACATTTTTTATTTTCATCTCTATATTGACTATAATGTTTAGTTTGCAACATCAAATACAAATGGTGTTCATGGTGGCGACCAATAAAGTTTTGTAATATTGCACAAGCAATCATAATATGTCTGCAATGATACTGAAAATTGACGCTTGTATTAACACTAGAAATTTTTCTTTCCAAATACCAAAAGTTCTCTCAATAACATTTGAAGCATGTCGATGATTGTACAATTCATGTTCCATTGAGTATCTTATGGAGGCATTACCACAATAATATTCGCTTAACTGATAACAATAATTTTTGAACGGTTTCATGAGTTTATCCATATTTACATATCCAGAGTCTACTAAGTAAAATTTATCATATGATACTCTAAAGTGTCCCTCCTCGTTTGCTTAGCACAACACCCTTAAACCTTCTGTAGAGCACTTCCAACTAGAATTTATACAGAGAAATTGCCGATCAAATGAGATGGCAACAATCATATATTGAGAAGTGAACATTTCTTATTGCAGTACTTTTCCATAAAACCTTATTGATGACAATCAAAATATGTGTATCACATATTGCACCTATAGCATTTTTAAAGAACAGATGAAATTGTGGGTTATTTTGTATAAATGGATAACATTTCGCTCTGATGGGTGACATTTAAGAAACTCTTTCACTAATAATGTTATCACACTTGACATATTATTAAATTGTCTGCTAAACATTTCTAGGGAGTGTTGAAGGAATTCACACAGCTGCCTGTAGATATGTGCATGTGCAACTCTCATGAGAAAAATCCCCAACTACTCAGTTGCGACGAGCATATTTTTTGTCACTTAATTGGCCTATACAAACATTTCCGGAGGGAGTCAAAAACAATTATAAGATATTATAGGACGTCCATCGAGAACATGGGCTATGATTTGCATCTGACTTATAAAATACTGGACGATGAATATAATTATCTCCATTTGATGTGCTGCTTCCTTCAATAAATGATGACATCAACTCAGCTATCACAATAGCAATTTCTAAGTATGCATCAACCATAATTCCCCTTAAGTTATTATTATATTTTAAAAAAACCAATCTAATATAATTAAGAGGGACAAATATCAAAACTTTTTTATGCAAATAAATGAAAAATACGTAAACAATTTGAACATCAAATGCTTGCTTGCCATTAGCCAAAAAAAAAAAAGTTTTTAAGGATGCATGAGAAGCTGTTCACAAGGCTTTCATAATTAAATGATGCGTCATTATGGCAAAGATAATTATCTCCATTTGAAATTTCATTTATTTCCACTAATAAACTATCCAATTAAAGCCATGGGGGCTCAATAAATTATATTGAATCAGTTCTCAGTAAATTTTAGTATATTATGTACTTAACCTGTAAATTATGATTATGAATATATGAAATCTGTAACTTAATCAAATTTTAAACCAAATCCTTTCAAAATAAACGCTTACCTCATAAAAACCTCTCATAATAATAGTTAATTTGTAGGTTTAACTATAAAAATTGTAGATTTCACATCAAAGCACTACCTTTCTTCTTCCCTATCGACCATTATGGTTAAAGACACACTTGAGGTTCCAAAATTGTAACAAATCTATGATTTCATAATAATAGTTTTCTTCATTTTTTTGTAGGTGGAAAATGTGATGATCAAATGTTAGGCATTCATATATCTTGTGATTATAAAATTTTATAGGCTACAAGGTGGAGGCATCACTTAACTAAGTACATGGACAACATAGAACACGGAAAGATTCTATGAAGCACAAAAATGAATTAACACGAAACTCCAAAACAAGTGAATGATAGAACAAATAAAAGATTACAATTTTAATGACATTGCAAGGAATAAAACAAAACTAGTGAAATTGAGCTGGACATGTGTAGAAATGATGGTGACAACTAAGCACATTCTCGATCCATGCACGTAATATCTATCCATTGTCCCAAGCAACAAAAATTACTTTATCATCACTTTTCTCCATCAATGCCTCTTGCATAGGAAAAATTATTTCATATGGACACTGTATCTGCATGCGGTGCCGATCTATACCATTGATCACCGATCTCCACCGTCAATAAAAATTTAAAAAAAAATTAAAGTTAAAAACGAGGCCCACCGAAATATATTTTTGCGGTAGATCACTGCATGCGGTGTCCGTATAGGATAATTTTTACTTGCATAGTGATAATAGCATCTATTGATATATTTTCTAAACCACCGAAATATATTTTTGCGGTAGATCCCTGCATGCGGTGTCCGTATAGAATAATTTTTACTTGCGTAGTGATAATAGCATCTATTGATATATTTTCTAAACTTCCTAGCTTAGCCAAACAATCGTATATTTGGACTAATTTGTCATCTTTATAGGCTCTAAAGTTAAAAATGCCAAGTGAACTATTTTTAGAACTGATAAAATTTTTAGACAAAAATATATATTAAAAGGAGGCAAAATTACCTAAATTATATTTAAAAAAAATACAATTTTATTATTTATATAAAAATATATAAAATTGCAGAATTTAGTTAACAAATTTCCGAATTCAGCACTTTACCGTAAAATTTTCCATCTCAAAATACTCAGCTTTATATCAACAGAAAAATGCAAATCTTAATAATTACGCGTGAAATTCTGTGTCAATAGAAGGTGGACTGCAGTGGCTCCGGCCAGTGGTGCAATGAACCTGTCCATAAATAAGCAGGTTGTATAATAAATGAAGGAGCGGGGGAGGGGAACTGCTTAGGAAGATAGGAAAATTTTATTCTTTTTATTTTATTTGTGCAGATTATCTTATAGATTTTTTTAATGTGAGTCATTTGGCACGCTTTTAGAAGCATCTTGTGAGACCAGATTCACCTGGGAGTGCAAGTGAGTCAACTGGAGCCGTGTGTTGGCTTCCGCTCCACTCAATAAGAGGTTTGTGAACGGCTCCGATGAGCATCAAGGTAAGTTTAAATTAATCCTAACTTCACTAGTTAGCTCATGAGTTGATTAGTTTAAAAATAATTAATTAAAAAATATTTAGTATAAAAAAAATGAAAAAAAATATTTTTTTTATTTTTTATCAACTGATTGCTTATCATTTTATTAGTTTTAGCTTATATATATATATATATTTCTAATTCATACTAAACGAATGGGCTCCAATTCGTAGAAGTAGCTTGAGAATGGCTGAAGCTCGACTACTCATTTGCACCCCTATTGCAGTTCACATTTGTAATTATACTGTTCATAGACCACATTTAATTAAAATTAAAAGAAATGAATATTTTAATCATAATTTGATTGAAATAAACTTTAAAATTAATGCAGTGTAAAAATTAAATGATTACACTTATACATCATAATCAACTTAAAATAAATTTAGAAAATTTAAAATTTATCCTCTTAAAAAATTTTAGTATTAAATACCCACACAAAAAATATACACAACTAAAAAAAAAACATAATAATTAATAATTTATAAAAAAATAAAATAAAAGAGTTATAAATTGGAGACCATATTAAACAGTGAGAACATATTCAGTTTCTTTTAAACTCACATATTTACATATATATGATCTAAATTTCAATTAGTGTAAAATATGTATCTAAAAATTGAACCTTTCCTTTAATTTGAGGCAATTATACCTAAATATTGAGCTCAATCTTCACAATTTCCATTTAAATTTCATCGAAATAATGCTTTTATTATCATACTCATGAGAGTATGATAATAAGCAATAAAATGAGAGCTGAACAAAAGATAGTAATTTTCAGTTTCTTTTCTGGAGTCTTCATAACTCTTAATTTAACATCACAAAACAATATTACTGAAAATTTAAAAAAAAATATATTAAATCCTTATCAATACTTTATAAAAAAACTATTGTAAAAAAAATAATAAATCCTTATCAATATTGTATAAGACAAATCATACAATACAGAAAATGATGCTTACAGAAAAAAATGGAGATATATCATAAAAAAATAAAATAAAATAAAAAGGTTAGATATCCTAAAGCAATTTTTTTTCTAACATCATCATGTAACAAAGTTAATTTAAAAATGAACAGTTGATTGTAAG